TGACTTATCATTCTTGTTCTTAATCGTTCAAGGGTGTGGCGTCAACCAACTTTATACCTCTGGTTCTTGTTGTGTCATAGACAACGGGTCAAGGTTTTTACCTTTGGTTCTTGTTGCGACATAAACAACGGGTCAAGGTCCTATCGTAAACCTGATTTAGCTTTCCTGGAGTTTACAAATCCCTTGTCGTGCTGTGGGTCTGATTGTTCTCTTTGGGGTTCTCATCACGCTTGGGTTCAGAACCCAGCTCCTGGGTTTGCCTGGAGGAAAAAGAAAAAAAAAAAGAAGAAAAGAAAAACCGGAGAAAGGAAAGGATGGAGAAGAAGAAAAAATGAACCCAGGAACCCATGATGAACCCAGGCGCTTGGGTTCAGAACCCAGCTCCTGGGTTTGCCTGGAGGAAAAAGAAAAAAAAGAAGAAAAAAAAAACCGGAGAAAGGAAAGGATGGAGAAGAAGATAAAATGAACCCAGGAACCCACAATGAACCTAGGCGCTTGGGTTCAGAACCCAGCTCCTGGGTTTGCCTGGAGGTAAAAGAAAAAATAAAAAGAAAAAAAAATAGGAGAAAGGAAAGGATCAAGAAGAAGGGTATATAAGTAATTAAACATAAAAAAAGTTAGGCCTGTCATTGACTTTTGTGAGGTGGATTTTCCACGTAATCTAAGTAAAAAATAAAATAAAATTTTCCGTTAATTAACTTGCAACCTCAGACAAAATTTAACGGAAGGACTAAAAAGGGGCCGGATTTTAAAATTTAAGGACCAAAAAGGGGATTTTTTCGGTACAGGGACTAAAAAGGGGCTTTTTCCTATAGTAGAGGGACCAAAAAGGGTATTTAACCTTCTTTTAATTCATTCAGTTTGTTTCTTTTATTGCTTTTCTTGTTGGTTCCTTCGTGTCCTTTCGTTTCCTTCAACTCTTGTTGCAGATTTGTTGGAGTTAGATTGCTGCAAAATAACTTGAATTGAGCTTGTTTAGTTCAATAACGAACTGAAAGAGGAAAGTTGAGTGAGGGAAAAAGGCAAGAGATGTGTGCAGCACTTGAGAGAAAAGCCAAGTTCTACAGTGTGCCAAACACGTGTTAAATGCCATTCTGTGAGAGAGTGGAGTGAAACACGTAAGGGAGTGTTGTGAGGTCCTTTTATTTTCTGTTTCTAACATTCCTTGCAGGTTTCAATCATGTCAAGCGGTGATGATAAAAAACACCAAGTGGATGATTCCTTCATGCTCAAAGCTATGCAACAACAATTTCAGAAGCTAGACGTCATGTTTGGTGAAATTAAAGACAAAATGGAGAAGCAAGATGCAGCTATTGCCAAGTTATACCAAATACAGAATGGAAGTCCAAATTTTCATAATCACAATCTTGATGACAATGATGAAGATGCATTCAACGATGATGCCCAGAACTCAAATTTCCGCATGGACAGATTTATGAGGGTTAAATACCCTTTTTGGTCCCTCTACTATAAGAAAAAGCCCCTTTTTGGTCCTTGTACCTAAAAAATCCCTTTTTTGATCCCTAAATTTTAAAATTCGGCCCCTTTTTAGTCCCTCCGTCAAATTTTGCTCGCCTGGCACGTTAACTTAACTGGAACAGCTGACGTGGGTATGCCAACATGTAAAAAATGCTTACGTGGACTTCTGACACTTGCCACGTCACTCTCCCACGCACGAAAATGAAAAAAAATTGGAGGGGAGAGTGACGTGGCAGGTGTCAGAAGTCCACGTAAACATTTTTTACATGTTGGCATACCCACGTCAGCTGTTCCAGTTAAGTTAACGTGCCATGCGAGCAAAATTTGACGGAGGGACTAAAAAGGGGCCGGATTTTGAAATTTAGGGATCAAAAAAGGGATTTTTTCGGTACAGGGACCAAAAAGGGGCTTTTTCTTATAGTAGAGGGACCAAAAAAGGTATTTAACCTTAAAAGAAAAAAGAAAGAAAAGAATGGAAATTCAATTGAAACACAATGCAGGAAAGACAAATCAGTTCTAACACTTCCTACTGGGAATTGACTTGACTATTCCTTAATGTAGCAGGATTCCTAACGTAGGAAGGAATAAACAAAATTGCTATCTCCTTGTTTGAATAGAATTGGTTAAATACCCTTTTTGGTCCCTCTACTATAGGAAAAAGCCCCTTTTTAGTCCCTATACCGAAAAAATCCCCTTTTTGGTCCTTAAATTTTAAAATCCGTCGCCTTTTTAGTCCTTCCGTTAAATTTTGTCTGATGTGACAAGTTAATTAACGGAATATTTTACTTTATTTTTTACCTAGATTACGTGGAAAATCCACTTCACAAAAGTCGATGACAAGCCTAACTTTTTTTACTTTTAATTACTTATATACCCTTATCTTCTTCTCCATCCTTTTGTTTCTTCGGTTTTTTTTTTCTTTTTTTTTTTCTTTTACCTCCAGGGAAACCCAAGAGCTGGGTTCTGAACCCATGCGCCTGGGTTCATCGTGGGTTCCTGGGTTCACGACAAACCCAGGAGCCTGGGTTCGTCTTATC